ACAATTTTGGAAGAGGCATCATGTCATATCATAACAATGTACTTACCAGTTTGTTTCAAAAATATCCAGGAGCAGAGAAGAAGATTTTTAAAGCAGTGATGCATTTTCACTATATATAAATAAATAGAGCCCGACCCCAACATCAGAACCCCTGATCCAGGGGTCATGAAATTCACTACCTTTGCTTATCATAACTATGTATTTAATTTGTTTCAATAATACCTAGGAGTAAAAAAAAGATTTTCAAAGAAATAATGCACTTTCACAATATGATCTATATAGCCCCGCCCTAGCACCAGAACCCCTGATCCTGGGTCCATGAATTTCACAATTTTGGTAGAGTCACCCTTGCTTATCATAACTATGTATTCAATTTGTTTCAATAATACCCAGGAGTAGAGAAGAAGATTTTCAAAGAAATAATGCACTTTAACTATATGATCTATATAGCATCCCCTCCCAGCAACAGAACCCCTGACCCTGGGGCTATGAATTTCACAATTTTGTTAGAGTCACTCTTGCGTATCATAACTATGTATTTAATTTGTTTCAATAATACCCAGGAGTAAAGAAGAAGATTTCTAAAGAAATAATGCACTTTCACAATATGTTCTATATAGCCCCGCCCTAGCACCAGAACCCCTGACCCTGGGGCCATGAATTTCACAATTTTGGTAGAGGGGTCAATGCTTATTGCAATCATGACAACAGTTTGACTGCTTGTTGTCCAGGAGTAAAGAGAAAGATTTTTAAAGATTGCATTAATTTTGGTGGTTCTAGCCCCACCCCTCGGGCTCCAGGGGGGCAGGAACCATAATATTCACAAATTTTGTTCCCCGTCACATATAGATGCCATATGTTAAAATTGGCTGAAATTGGTTCAGCGGTTTCAGAGAAGAAGCTGAAAATATTCAAATGTTAACACACGACGCACGACGGACGACGGACGACGACGGACGAAAACGGATAGCAATAGGTCACCTGAGTGACTCAGGTGACCTAAAAACGCAAGAGAATCCAAACCTTGGCATCAATCATCTTTTTTGAACTTTCTATCAATCTGTTCCGATAGGGGTCATTTTTCAACGGGGGTCAATTTCTTATAGGTTGCACATATAAAAAACTGACCCCTAGGGTTCTTTTTCTACAAAAAATTAAATTTTTCTACGGCTAGGGAGTCATTTTTCGATGACCCCCAGGTCATTATTCTACGGGGGCCATTATTCGTCTTTACACCGGCCGTATGTTCCAAATTAAAACTAGAGCGTCAAAAATTCGGTTGCAATGGGAAACAGAGCACAGGAATTGCCTTGAACTTTATTGCTGCTCAGTTGTCTTTACAGATGAATCTCGATTTTGTTTCAACTTTCATAATGGTTGAGGTCTTCTATGGAGAAATGGAGACAATTTTTCTAATTGTTGCCTATCTGAGATTAAAAGATCAATGATGATTTGGGCATGAATACTGTAAATCAGCTTGTATTCGCAAGCAAGATATATACGTGAATTTGGTAACCTTCATTTACTCACGAATATTTCTCTTCTAGAACCTATTATTCAACTACATGGATGTATTCATTTAAAATGTTCTCTCGATCTCGAAAATCAGTAATTGCGGATTAATTCCAAATTGAAGAAATGCGGATAAAAGATGGATGTCGCAAATGATAATTGGTTTACAGGAAATGATGACTACAAAACTCATTTGCACATCATTGAAGGGTCTATGTCAGGTTTAAAGTATTGTGCTATGTCAGGTTTAAAGTATTGTGACAAGGTTCTCCATCCTATTGTGAGTTTATTTGCCGATGCTGTTGGGCAAGATTTTATCCTAATGGACGATAATGCGCGACCTCAGATAGCGGGCCTTGTGAATAAGTACCTTAAAAGAAAAAAAAAAACTATCCAGCGTGTGGATTAACTAAACCTTTCTCTTGACCTCAACCCAATTGAACATGATTGGAACATCTTCAGCAATGCACTCCGGCTCGTCTAACACTTCTGCAGACTCGTCTGAATAACTTCAATGCAAGAGGAATGACAACACATTCCACTTGCGAGCATTACAGAGCTAAAGGGCAATATGGTGAGGCATTGTAGAGGTGTCATTTCTTTACGATGAGATCATACAAAATACTGACAAACATAGTAAAAAAAAGAGATTTTTTTTCTTATGGTTACAGATATGCTAGAAATGTTTTTTTTTCTTCTGTATACATATGAAGAATGTGTTGAGATTTTTGTTAATCGCTATGATATTTGCTTCAAATTAAGGCTATGAATAGAATGACGAAAAATACAGACTGTAAAGCTAGGAGGGGCATTTCAAAAGTTCTGGCAACTGGTGTGCGGTAAATTAATGAGCGTCATTATCATAAATTAAATTAGATCAATCTCTCAAAATATTCTCCGTTGACCTGGACACACTTTTTCAGTCTTGAAATCCACGTGGAAAATGCTGCCCTATAGTCCTCTTTCGGTATACGCTTCATACACTGGAATACGGCATGACGACTTTCAAATCGCCGTCCTCGGGGGGCTTCTTTGATAACGGCATTCAACCAAAAATCGCATGGAGCTAGGTCAGGACTGTAGGGTGGATGTGGTAAAACGACATTACCATTTTCCTTTAAATATTTGGTTACTACCTCTGATCTATGGGCAGGTGCGTTGTCATGGAGGAGCTTTATTCCTCTAGTACTGGTTGTTGGTCGGGTCGTTTTATAGTGCTCTACAACCTGAGACAAGACATTCTCTGCATAAAATTGACCAGTAACACTGCTGTGTTCTGGAACCGGAACTTGAGCAACAGGGCCTTTAGAATAAAAGAATAAGGCGTACATTACTCTCCGAACAGACCGGTTTCTGCGTGCAATTTGAGGCCTTGTATCATTATCACCGATCCAATCCTTATTATTGAGCTTAGTTTCCGGTTTTCAAAAAAATATATCCATGTTTCATCACCAGTTACAATCTCATTTATTTGCCTTTGGTCACAATCTTCATAAATTGTTAGCAACTGTGAAGCCATTTCTACCCGGATGCGCTTTTTCTCTTCCGAGAGAAGATGCGGCACCCATCTAGCACAAACTTTCCTAAGCTTTAAGTTTTCCTTTAAAATACGAAAAACTGCTGACGAATTAATGTTAGTTAAGTCTGCTATTTCCTCAACTGTGTATCTAGCATCATCAGCTATCGTATTTTGAACAGCGACGATTTCTTTTTCGCCATATGCACAGACTGGACGCCCCGAACGGGGGTCATCTTCAATTGATTTTCTACCCTCTTTAAATTAAACTACCCATCTTGCTATTGCTCGATATGAAAGAGCATGCTCTGTATATACTACATCTAAATCGGCTTTTATTTCTGTTGCCGTAAAGCCAAGCAATGAGCGAATTTTGCAATACGCTCTTTGCTCAACAAAAAAATTGTTCCCCTTATTAGTCATTTTTACGCCCAGTATACAGCGTATACCTATTTTTGACGTCATTTTAGCAGACCTATACGTCATTTTGAATGTAAAATGACGTCACTACTAATGCATATTTGCCTAAGCTTTACAGTGGTATCGGAGTCATTTTAATCCGTAACGTAGTTAAAATTTTATATACCAGTTGCCAGAACTTTTGAAATGCCCCTCGTACTTTTTTTTCAAGAGAGCATATAACATAACTTTTTTTCTACGGTCTTTTTTTCAGTATACATAAAGGAGACATTTATAAATAGCTGGTCTCACTTAGGGCTTTGTTTAGTTGAATTTCGAATTTCTGAAAAATAAGAACAGCTTATTTTTATTTGAGAATGCATAAAATATTTCTTGGTCCCTTGGTGACAGCTTATCTGTGAAGAATGAGGTTATGTTCTCGCTAGTGAATGGATGTCATTGTCTTAAGTTGCATCAGTATTCCCAATTCCTGAAAATATCTTTAAAAATGGCACTGGTGCTGTTTCTCTAAACTTCGTTTACAGCACAATCATTGATCTAAAACTTGCATTTTTATAATTAAAGAAAAAATTTAATAATATAAAACGTTTCTTATACATAAAAGGTCTTTTCTGTACTGCGAACAGATTTCTTATAGGAAGTCACATAGCAAAGAATTCTTCCAGAATACCATTGATCAAAACTAAATGATAACTTCTTAATTATCATAGTTTATAAACATTAGCATTCATCGTATTGCATTATCATTATGATCGACAAAGGAAAATGGTATTTAAACAGCATGTATGTACCTAGGATTGATTGATTGTTTGTTGTTTTACGTCCCATTCGAGAATTTTTGACTCATATAGAGACGTCACCATATACCGGTGAAGTGCTTCAAATTTTGACCTTTACTCGGCATTCAGGGCCATTGAGCAATGAGGGATCTTTATCGTGCCAACGCCTGTCGTGACACGGGGCCTCGGTTTTTTAGGTCTCATCCGAAAGACTCGCAACTTTCACTTTAAAGTGCCGAGCACCTGGCGAAGAAACAGTCGCTACCCATTTTTTATCTACTTAGATCAGTCGCGGCCGAGATTCGAACTCATGACCTCCCGATCACGGAGCGAGCGCTCTATGTACCTAGGAATTGTAAAGGATAAAATTAAACATTTTTGTTAAAAATGTCCAATAACTATGAGACTGAACTAACACATGTCAAATTGATATCTTCGTAGAGAGTATACATGGTTATTATTGTGAGTACTTAAATATTGGCGAAAGCTGAATGATAGAAATTGGTATAAATTACCAAATGCATTTTCAAAAGGATATGAAAAAAAAGTGACAGGAAAATATTTTTTTCCTTCCAATGCCCTCTGACCTTTGTGTCCTTTAAAACCCGAGATTGCTTATATAATGAATTCAAAGAAGCCGCAATACGATCATTTCTTTTTTTTTGAATCTTTAATTAGATATAGTTGGAGAGTTCTTTATTAATTAAACTAGGTCCATCCAATTTTTATTGTTTACAAAGTTAATTCAAACTTTGATGTATTTATATACATACCCCAAGCAATATTGTCAGTCCTGTAGTAGATCACTATATTGTGTATGCTTAGAATATCGGTGAGGTTAACCCACCAGGTTGCATTAGTCCTTTTATCAGCTGATACACTACATTGGTGTCCATTATAGGATAGGTCTGTTTTCAATCCGTCAACAGCTTTTTCAGGACCGGATAATGTGGCGTTATGTGATGAACTTTGCCAAGTCTGTTTCCGAAGAGCAAGATTTTCTAAAAAAAAAAATCTTTACGTTCAAGAAAAGTAATGCATTAGATATAAATCCTTTGCATTTGAAATTGGGTTACTATTCATCTAATTTTGCAGACACTCGCATGTTTTTATTATACTCGAATTGAATTACAATACAAACAACATTTATTATGAAATGATACCAAAAAAAATGTTGACCTAAAATTAATTTGCACAAAACTAAATTCATCACCAAGTTGTACGTCGAAGTATCTTTCGATAGATAGACCCCTTCTGCATCCAATTCATATTAAATGACTGTTAACCAATTTGTCAATTTCTTTTTCATTATCTCATACATTATTTTGTATTTCAGGTTGTAGTTACATGCATCTCGACTCGCTTTACATCTAATCAGACTTGAAAAAAAAGTAGATGTTTTTTTGATGAAAGAGAGCTAGATCTGCACTTGAATAAGCTTGAAGAATGTACGTATACTGTAAACTGTCTACTTTCATTCCGTCTTGCAAACAATTCAGCCCTATTTTAAATTCGGCCCTACACAGTTGTATTAAAGATATAATATTGTTTTCTTTCTGTCCGCCTTGTTTTAACTTCGCACACTTACAACGAGGGTGGAAGGAGCGAAAATAAAATACTGGGATGGTTGGGGTGGGGTGCATTTATTTCCTGTATACTGTAGTTCGATCAATATATCAAGACTAAGTTTCTGCTATATACCCAATATATATGTATAAATATTTTGCAATATTTTAAACAACTAAATAGTTTTTTTGTAACTAATATTTTTCTTCCATTTTAAACAGGCAAGATATATTTTTAGATCCAGGGTCGTTATTAATATGCATCTTTTTTGTTTATTTTCTTTAACCTTGTTGGTCCTTGCAATCGCAGCTCCATGCAATTGATAAATTGTTTTACGCTTACGTTTAGATAAACATCACCCTTCTTTTAATTATATAATCTGTTTAATAGACAGAATAATATTTTTGTTCAATGTATTTAACGATACTATAATTTATGTCTGCAAAAACGTAATTTGATCACAAAGATATGAAAAATACAACTATAGCAACTTTTTTTTCAGTTCTTCCCTTAATTAATAATTTCTTCATATTTTATTTTAATAATAGGTTTCTTTTGAATCTATTATTGGAAAAAAAAAATAAAAATGTCAGGCAGCATCTAGGGCCTGTAACTTGTTACATGGAGTCAAAGAAAATGATAGACTCGTAATAAAATAATCAAAACAATAGATGTGTCCTTGTCAGCTGAAAAGACACCACCGATAAAACAAGAGACCAAAGGGCCTAGAATCGCTCTTCTGAAAATTGTACTACCTATAATCGCTTCTGTTTTAATCCTCTTCATAACCATCATATAAGGATAAATCCTTGAAATTCATAAAATAGGTCAGAATGGCAACAACTGACGAAGTTTGATAATTCGAAGCCAATTAGAGTCTGAAACATTCAAATTTAGCCATGAAGTTGCAAAAGTAAGGCACAGTGGCCTACTTTTTGGTTGATAAACGCAGAGGACTCAAAAGTTTGATGATTACAAGCCAATTAGTTATTTAGAAACCCCAAAAAATCAGAAAGTAGGTCACCTTGACATAGTTTTTTGGTTGACACACTTCGAGGACCTAATATGCATCAACTGATATAGTTTGATGATTCTAAGCCAATTACTATCTGAAATAGCCATCAAGTTCCAAAAGTAGGTCACCGTGACCTACTTTTGGTTGACACACTCCAGATATCAAAGGTGCATTAACTGACAAATTTTGATAATCCCAAACCAATTTGCTATCTGAAATATTTAAATTAAGCCATGAAATTGCAAAAGTAAGTAACGGTGACCAATATCAAGTTGATACACTCCGAGGACTCAAGATGCATAAACTGACAAAGTTTGATGATTCTAAACTAATTAGTATCTGTAATATTTAAATAAAGCCCTGAAATTGCAAAAATTAAGTCACGGTGGCCTACTCTTTGGTTGATAAACTCAGAGGATTCAGGATTCATCTATCGACAAATTTGATGATTCTTATTCAATAAGAATCTGAAATAGCAGTCAGATTCCATAAAGGTTACGGTGACCTACTTTTGGTTGACACACTTTGAGGTCCCAAGATGCATCAAATGACAAAGTTTGAGGATTCTAAGCTAATTACTATTTGAAATAGCCACCAAATTACAAAATTAGGCCACGGTGACCTACTTTTTTGTTGATACACTCCGTCTGAGGACACAAGATGCATCAACTGACCAAGTTTGATGATTATAAGCCAGTTACTATCTGAAAAATTCCAAAAGTAGGTCATTTTGAACTACTTTGTAGTTGACACATTCCGAGGACCCAAAACGCATCAGCTGAAACAATTTGATGATTCTAAGCTAATTTGTTTCTGAAATAGCCATCAAATTCCACATGTAGGTCACTGTGACCTACTTTTATATTGACACACTTTGAGGACCCAAGATGCATCAACTGACATAATTTGATGATTCTGAGGCAATTACTATCTGAAATAGACATCAAATTCCAAACATAGGTCATAGTGACCTACCTTTTCGGTTGAGACACTCCAGGTACCCAATATGCATCAACAGACAAAGTTTGATAATTCCAAGCCAATTAGTAACTGAAATATTCAATTAAGCCATATTATTGCGAAAGTAGATCACAGTGACCTACTTCACCTACTTCCTGGTCAATTCACTTCGAGGACTCTAGATGCATCAAATGACAAAGTTTGATGATTCTATGCCAATTAGTAATTTTAAAGACCATAAAATTCAGAAAGTAGGTCACCGTGACCTACTTTTTTGGTTGACACACTCCGAGGACCTAAGATGCAAAACTGACAAAGTTTGATGATCCTATGCTTCAAAGTGTCCAAAATATGCCTCTTAAACAATTTGAAAATGATATAACTGTAAAATTCCAAAAGAAGGTCACTGTGACCTATTATTCTATAAATCTGTTTTAAGGCCCCAAGATGCATCAACTTACAAGGTTTGATGATTATAAACCTCTTAGTATCTGAAATAATAACCTCTAAAATTGAAGAAATTATTAGCCATAAAATTCAATAAAGTAGGTCATGGTGACTTAATTTTTAGTTGATACGCTTCAAGGTCCAATGATGGATAAACTGCCAAGTTTTGATGATCATATAGACTTCAAAGTATCCAAGTTATGCATCAAAATTAAACTGAAAATGAATACCTGCAAAATTCAGTAAGTAGATCTCCGTGACCTACTTTTGAGTCAACGTGATATGAGGTCCGAAGATGCATCAACTGACAGGGTTTGATGATCTTAGGCCTTATAGTGGGCAAAATGTCAAAGATTTAACAAAACGTAATTTTTGGTCAACTCAAGTGACCTTGAGACCACGCCTTTTGCCCCAGGGTGATGCCTTAAACAATTTTTAATCTACGACATATCCTTGTATGCAAGTTTGGTGATAATCTGCCCAGATGTTCTTGAGAAGAATGATTTTTAGCAACCACTACTTTTGTTTTTATTTCCATAATTATCTCCTCTTACTTAAGAGACGCATCTCTAGTTTTAGTATAAATGAAAGCCCTTGGGCCAAGGATACTAGGTGATAAATTTGGAAAAAAAATACTGAGGGGTTTTTGAAATATGGCCCATTTTCCAAAAAGTTAACGCACACCGCACAAATGGCCATAACATAAGCGCTTTAGCCTTTGGCTCAGAAGAGCTATAAAAAGGATTACTGAGAGCAGAGGAAAGATAAAGATGAACATTCAGTATGAAAGGTAATACAGAAGAACTCGATTTAGCTTCCAACTTTCCAATGATAAGCATGTTTCAGAAAGACAAAATTACAGCTGCTCATAAGAAATAGCAATTTCCCGGGTCAGGTATCTGTGTGATATATTTTGTCAGACAACTAAAGAAGACAGAGACAGGAAGCTTACGGTTCGATAGTTGTCTCGCATGGTTCATGTTCATCGATCGACTAAAGTGTTCCCAAACTGTTATAAAGTTGGTATATTGAGATTTTTTTCTTGTCCAATACCAATGATGTCAAATTCAAGTTCTTTTAATTGATTTGCCAACTGAAGGGGCGGGGGGGGGGGGTGGGGGGGGGTCAATATGAGAACTATTCTTATGATTTTTTTTTCTCTCCCTGTCTGCCAATCAGACTGACCTGTAATGCTACAAATTATCAACCTGCCCTTGAAAAGACTAGACTTGTTTTATAAAACAATATTGTCTTAAGTACTTTTTGTTATCTTATACGAAATCATGTATAAGATCGACGGATCGTACAGATTTTATCCACTTATTAGACCATTTTCCTTCTATTTTCATAATTATTTATTTTTTCATGCCGAATTAGTGCATGCTATATTTGAAAACGATTTAATGGAATTTTATGAAACTTTTTCCCTAATCTGACCTATTACATGTACATATGTTAATATTTTGTGAAAACATAAAAGACACGAGTTCTTCATATTTATGAGTTCTTTTGGTTTGTATAAATAAAAATGGTTGGTCCCTCACATAAAACATTTTTTTTCTTGATATTTAAAAAAAAAAACATAGCAATTCTTGATATGAAAGAAATGTTTCGGTCCTACAATTGAAAACTTCCATCTTTTTTAAGATCTTTATATATATTTTCTCAAATGTGCTCGAAGCAAAACCATTCAGATTTTAAAATAAGACTTTTCATCATGTTTTACAAAAATAAAATACATCCACTCCGGATTGTCTAAAAACTTTTCCTACGTATCTCAATATACATTTATATGTTCTTCTTAATACAGTGATTGCAAAGTTGTTGTTGAAAAACTCAAAGAGTAGAATCCGTTATGTAACTTGTGTGATTATCTCTGTTACGTGCGAGATCGTGCATGGTACGGGTATTTTAATCTTGCCTTATCGTGTGGTAAGAACCGCGCAAATTGTGTTTTTCAGTAAATAATATTTCGTATTATAGGAAAGCAAATTATTTAACAAATTATCGACTTCCTTGTTTACGAAGTTCTTGATATTAAACACATTCTTTAGAGCGTTATTCTTTCTATAACATTTTTTTTCTTCTATTGACTAGTTAAAATTTAATGTTTGAATATCGGATGATCCAAAATTGGGAATTTTAATTTGTTTAATTAATACACCTTCTTTTCTCTGTCTTATATATGATAATAGTTTATGATATGAGATAAACTTCCCTCGCCATCCCCATCTTTATGTTAAATGAAGATCATAAAATGTTTCAGCCATGCATTCTGTGTTTTTGTTTTTATGTGCTATTTTTTATCTAATATATTTCGTCTTAATTAAAGCGACAGTACGGCTGCAAAATGTGTGCTTTTTCATTCAAATTTACCCAATATGTCATTAAGAAATAAGGTATAAAATTGATGTAAGCAGTTTGAGTAGCAGAAATATTCTCTACTCAAGCAAAATTAACATAATTAGAATCTGCCGGAAAATCAAGGGTCGTACGAACTGGAGCAATCTTTGATCTGTTTATTTGTACCACGTGAATTCTAAAACGGCACGTGCCTACACTGTAGAGTTTACAATTATTATAATGAATATTAGGTAAAAACGATTTTCAAAAACAAATTATTATAAATTTCTGATAAAATAATCTGAAATAATAATCGTAAAGATTTCAGTCTCCATTCAGGCGAATTTTAAAGAATTAAAAGTACAAATGGTGACGTTTTGTGTATTGGGGTCCAAGAAAGGAAAAACCAACTATATAATCATACGTTATCGCGGCAAATGTCAAACAAAATATTTTTCTGCACAGTTAAAAAAAATTAGCATTTCAAATGGCAACAATGTTTATTAGTCAAAGGTGTATTTTTATGTTGAGTTTACATTATTTTTTTTTCTTTGAAAGCTATGGAAAAATGAGAAATGATAACAAGTATCAACAGACCTGTCGAATGGAATCTTCGAGAGCCCTGCGTGAGTGTCGCCGAGTTCCCGTTTCTTCCTTATCCCGCGATTATATTAATCCCCAAACTAAATTTTAGTCAGGAAAGTTGCTTTTTCAAGCACTATTTTCAGTTTCTTTTTATTTGTGGTCGACTTTGTCAATGTAGCAGGCCTACCGGGCTTTCCTCTCTAACCATGCTGTTCTGTTTTCTGAAAACTACGCATGCGTGCATAGCATGGAATGTGGAACCCCGAACACGTTGCGATGTATATATTTATGTCCCATAAATAACTATCAATTATAATGAAATAATCCAAATTATTTAATTGTAAAAGTTGTAATTTTCTGAAAGTTTATACATTTATGAGTAGTAAAAAATACCAAATCTTGTCGGAAAATTTTTATCAAGTCAGTTTTTTGATGAGATGCGCCGTACTGTCACTTTAATTGAGCCAGCCATTTTTTGTCTCGATCCATAAAAGTAACATTTTAGCTTCTAAATCTGTGATTTTCTGAAACCTTGTACCCGGTATATTAAAGAACTGAAAATTCAATTAAAATATTATGACAAAAACAATATCAATTTCATTTTATTTTACATTGTCGTAATACATTAGGGTATTAGTATGACAACTGACCAAGAATCGCACATAAAACCGGAAAAGCGGCTCAGAAGAAAAGGTCGATCAAAATAAATAAATAAATAAAATAACAATACGTTTATCAAGATAATAGTTAATGAATTCGATCAATTATTTATAAACGTAATTTACTTATTTCATTGCCTTTTTTAGGTACTTGTATGCCAATTGAACAAAAATCATAAATAAAATCGAAAAAGCAGCTCAAAATTATAATAATGAAAATTTATAAAGGTACTTTTCAACTCTGCTGTTCATTATTTCTTTTATTAATTGTTGTCCACTCAATATTTTTATATCTATTAATCAGGTTTAGTCCAAAGACTATTTCTATCTACGTAGCTATTAATAGCTACGTAGGTATTTAAACCTACCAAAAGTAGCTATTTTTACCTACTTTGTGCATTACTTGCAAAAGGTAGCACTGTTCCTTCGCCAAACGCTAGGCACTTTGAAGTGAAAGTTGTGGGTCCTTCGGATGAGACCCTAAAAACCCGAGGCCCCATGTCACGGTAGGCGTTGGGACGATTAAGAACCCTCACTGCTCAATGACCCTGAGTGCCGAGTAAAGGTCTAAATTTGAAGCCCTTCACCGGTATAAGTTGATGGGACATAAAATAACATAATCAAACAATCGTTACAGATTTTCCCATTACCAAAACAACCTAAAGATTGGATCACCCATATCTATGCCCTAAATAAACGTTGTAATTTTATATGCAGATATCATAAGAATATCACGAACTATTGTATGTCATTAATGTACGCTTTATGTTTAACTATTATGTTTAACTCATGAAAATTGTACAAACCCGAATTTCTTCCATACATATAGATCAGCCCTCTCGTGATAACAAAGGCTGCCTGGCTATGTTATTCAACTGACATACCCGAAATCAATTTGGCATCGTCTCCAAAACAATTACAAAACAGCAACTCATCCTTTTTCCCGCCTTTGTAATGCTAAAACTTTTACTTGGTGAAAAAGTTTGAGTTTAACCATACAAACATCGCGCGAATACTA